CACCCTGCTGGTACCTCCCAGGACTGCTCAGTCCTTCCAAGCCCTGGCTCTGGTCCCTGTGGCCAGGCCCAGTACCGGAAAGGACTGTGCCCTTCCTGCGCCCATACAGCCTGGCAGGGTTCCCTGCCATGCTCTGCATTGGAGCCAGCGCGGCCCCACATTTGGGGCTCAGACGAAAGAAAGAGTGGACAGGGCACCCAGGGCCCATTCCTCACCCATGTGCCCAGGTAGGTGTGGAGGCCCTGGGAGTCTACCTCCTGCCCCTTTAGTGGGGACCTCAGACTCCAGGACATAAACGGGTGTAGATAGCTGGTCCTTTGATCCGGGGTGCCTGGGTAGGGCTACTGCCAGTTTGGATCAAGGCCCTTGGAATGAGGGAAATAAAACAGAGGGGGAAAAAGACTTGAAAGTAAGGGTTGGGAAGTCAGGATGACTGGTCTGGGGTGGGCTTGAAAATCACAGGGCAGGGAAGGGATGGACAAAGGGCGGGATGGGGGGGTCCTGAATCAAATGTGTGGTCAGCATGGGGAAATCTGGGAAGTGTGGGTGTGTGTAAGAGAGAGAGAGGGAGAGAGGGACAGGATCAGAGAGAGACAAGAACAGTATATGGCACATGTCTGTACCTATACCCATGCGTGTGCTAGTTAATGGCTGAGGGGGACATGATCGTGTGGGATCTGTGTGTGGGGAAGAGACCTTGTGAAGGTACCTAATGGCAATTCCAGAACAGAAGCTCCCGGAGGCAGGAGAAGGCAACACTCGTTTGGATGTGTGGTCGGCCTGTTGGCGGTCAGTTATCTGCGTAGCGGGGCGTGTGCGTGTGTGCAAGTGGAGCCAGCATGGAGCCCGCATGGTGTACGTGAGAGTTCATGGGAGAATGTGCATGTGCACGAGGAGGGTGGGGACTAGCTCAGCTGCAGATGGGCTTTCAAGGTCTCCAAGAAACAGTTTTGTTTCCTAAGTGACTGGCCTCCTGGGGCTTCCAGCCCAGACTTGAAGGTTGTTTCAAGATCATGAAAGAGAGAGAGGGAGGGAGAGTGGGAGGGAAGGAGCACTGGGAGCCTCTATCACCCCCACTGTCCCTCCTCCCACCCCTCACCCCACTTCTCTGCCTTAGTCCTGGTTGGGGCCAAGCTCACCAGCCCAGCTCGCCCCTCCTCCCTGCAGCCAGCCCTCTCTGGGCAGTCTCTCCTTCCCGCCCCCTTCCATTTTCCCCAACTCTCCTTTCTCTTCTTCTGGGCCTGTGGTCTTGCCACCATGGCCAGGCTTCTGGGGCCTTCTGGGGGTGTGGGCAAAAATTTTTTCTTCCACAGGGAGGTTGTCTTGGGGTGATAAGATGGACCAGGGAGCTGAGAAGGCCTGGGGTGGCCATGGCAAGTGTCCAACAAAGGTGCCCCTTACACCCCCTTTCTCTCCCCCCCTCTCCTCCCACTTCCGAAAATCGCAGTGACCTTGTGGGGGGCAGGCCAGGCTCAGAGTCACAGAGAGGCTGTTCAAGTCTTGCCGCTTCATTGGTTTCCCCACTGGACCACAGGGATGGTTTTCTCTCCCTCTCTCCCTGACGCCTGCTCCTCTGCTTTCTTTCTGGTCTTTTTTTTCCATCTACTCAAAATGGATTCTAAGGACCTCTTCCTCTGTTTCCTTTTGCTTCTGTCAGCTTTAATCTTTCCGCCAGATTATTCTTCTAATTTTTTATTGTTAATGCCACTTGAGAAAGAATTTAGAAATGGATAAAAGAATGCCAGAAGTTCCCTCAGCCTCTCTGCCTCTATTCCCATGCTACTTCTTATTTAAAAAAGAATTGTTTTTAAGGTGAAACTTTTTTATATTGATCTCAGAGAGAGGGAGGGAGAGAGAGGAGGGAGAGAAACATTGATGTGAGAGAGAAACAGATCAATTGCCTCCTGCACATGCCCTGACTGGGGATCAAACCCAAAACCTGGGTATTTGCCCCGACAGGGAATTGAACCACCACCTTCCAGCGTACAGGAGGACACTCCAACCAACCAGGCCACTCCGGCCAGTGCTTTTAAAATGTTTATTTATTGACTTTCAGAGACAGCAAGAGAGAGAGAGAGAGAAACACTGATCTATTTATTTATACATTCATTGGTTGATTCTTGTATGTGGCCCGACCGGGGATCAAACCCGCAACCTTGTCATACTGGGATAACACTCTAACCAACTGAGCTACTCGCCAGGGCCAATCCGACTTCTTTTGTCCTCTTGCTGCTCTCTGGGTGGGATAGCTCCATGTTCGTGTCCCACCTAGACACACGGGTGGGATCCGTGGTGCTGTTCAGGGGCCCATGTCAGCCCTCCTCCCTGAGCGTGTGGTCCAGGGCTGTTCTGGGCCGGCCTCCTTCCCGCCTGCACTGCCCAGGGTCCCCACCATGCCCTAATGTGAAGGGCACATGCCTGTAAGTTGGTCCTGGTGGGGCCATTAACCAGCTGTGCGACTTTGGACAGGAGCCCCCCCCC